TCTAAAATGCAAAGATATACAACTCAGCACATAGGTTAGAATCATACAAGCCATTGTTTTCCCTATTACAATGTATGGATGTGAGAGCTTGCCTGTATTATGTTAAGAAAGATGATAGGAAGAAAATTAATACATTCAAGATGTGGTGCTGGAGAAGAGTGCTGAGGATCCCATGGACAGCCAAAAAGACAAACAAATGGGTCCTGGAGCAGATCAAGCCGGAAACCTCCCTGGAAGCCAAGATGACCAAACTGAGGCTGTCGTACTTTGGACACATCCTGAGAAGAGAGGACTCTTTGGAAAAAACAATAATGCTGGAAAAGGTTGAGAAAAGTAGGAAAAGAGGAAGGCCATATGCCAGATGGATGGACTCTATTAAGAAGGTCACTTTGGGTATTAAGGGGTTGCAGGAATTAAGCAGAATAGTGGAGGACAGAGGGGCTTGGAGATGTCTCATCCATAGGGCCGCCGTGAGTCGAGATCAACTCAAGGACACTTAACAACAAAACAACAAAATGTGCCTTCAAGCTTACTCTGACTTATGGCAATCTTATCATAGTGTTTTCTTGGTAAAATTATTGAGAAGAGGTTGGCCATTGCTTTTCTCTTAGGCTGAGAGAATGCGACTTGCCTAGGGTTACCCAGTGGGTTTCCATGGTTAAGTAGGGATTCGACCCTGGTCCCTCAAACCATTACTTACCCTAATTCTTGTTGATTTATGTTATTATTACTGTATTTTTCTTGCCAAAGGAGGAAGATATGTTTGTGGACCAAAATAACTATGCTTACTTTGGATACTAGGGGTATGGGTGTGTGTATGTGCCTCAAGTAGCAAATATTTTGGACTGGCCCTGTGTATATGATTCCAGTTAAATGTGCCCCCATTCCTGAGCACTTTGAAGCACTGTCAAGCAATCTAAGGCCTTGTCTTGTCATATTAATTAATTCCAGCTCCCCGCAACAAACAACATTTATTGAGAAATCTGTGGGAACTGCTTATTTTAAGACAGTGAAGAAATCAAGAGGAAACTTGAAGGAAAGGAGCTTTGCTGCTTTTCCAGTCCCAGTCAACAGAAAGTCTTTGACGTGACCTTTTTGCATTTTTCTTCCATAAGCAATCAGTTAGCTTGCACAGTGTTTTTAAATGAAACTTTTCTGAGACTGAAACTTTTTGCTTGTCACACTTTTAAGGGCAGCCGTTTGTGCCTTTTAACAGCGTTATGATAGTCACCGACAGATCCCATTTTGCTATTTGTTCCTTTTGGTGTTCAAGAAATATAGGGCTAGTTATTTGTATTTAATTCCTTTTTGCACTAACTGGTTTTGGGAGCACACTTAACACTGAGGAAGAAATATTGGATAGTTCAAGTGCTGCCTTGTGCTGCTTCCTCATGCGGTGCTGATGTGACAGTGTGGTGGATAGGAAAAGAGTTTATTTTGTTCAGTGACTTTTACTATTGAGATTTTTTTTAAAAGTCATGTAAAAGTAACTATTTTGGAGCTCAATTTTAACTGGCGAAGGTAGTATAACTGCTGCAGAAGGTGTATAATAGAAATATCTACGTTTTAAAACAACACACATAAACATGCTTAGTTCATGAATAGGAATCACAAGCTGCACATGGCTCCTAGGGCACCATGTGGCCCAGTGCCCTGCATTAATAAAAAGTTGCAGTTGAACATCTGGAGGGCTGCATGAAAGCCCTGCATTAGAGCTTTCCCCAAGCTTTTGTCCTCTGGATGCATTGGACTACAACAAAAATCATGCTGACATGTTTTCCAGGAGCTGGATCGGTGGGCTAATTATAGGACTCCAGAGGTTGTGAGCGTGTGAATCCCAGCTTCCTTCACCACAGGCTATACTAGTCTAATCTGATAGAAGTGACACTCCAACTACATCTGGAGGCCCACACTTTGTCCGCCCCTTTCCACAGGTTCTGAATTAAGAAAAGGATCACAAGAGATAATCTGAATTTCATCTGCCATTATAATGTATTTCTCATTAAGTTTAGTTTGTTGGTTTAAAATCACAAGTGCTGAAGAAGCAGGAAGACTAAAGAATTCCACACTGGTGTGAGTTTGCTTAAGAACAAACAGAAATGTTGGCAACATTTAAAAAAAATATTCAGAACCTTAAACCCATGATCTTCAATCCAACATCCCTTCAGTGTAACATAATGTTCACATGTAGACCTATCCTATACTGAGCCATATACTACCACCCCTGACCTAATCTAAAACATTGAAGTCACCTTGCATGGTCATTCTGTATTTCATAGCAAGCAGGAAGGATTGGAAAAGGTCTAGCTACTCCTCATAGCCAGATGTGCAATTACAACACCAATGCTTAGATCCACAGAGGGGCTCTGAAAGTCTCAGTGCTTCTGTAGTCATTGTAGGTCTGGCAGGGTTGCCAGATGTTTCTCCAATCCTGCCTGCTCACCTTGAAGCCTGGAATGCATGTGTGAGGCAGCTTTGGACCTTTACAGTAAGTCAGGTGGGCGGCTTTGGGCACTGCATGGAGAGGACAGGAATACCAACGTCCACAGTGCCCAAAAAAGCACATCCACATGCATAAGTGACACTTAACATGTGCAGATGTCCCTACCTGAATGTCTGGGTCTTGTAAATTGTATAGTTGTTTCTCAGAATCCCACCAGCATTTTACCTACATCACGTCTGTATCAATTTGTGAGAATTCTTTATCTATTTCTGTGCATGAAAACAAAGAATTCTCACAAATTGATACAGAGGTGGTGTGGGTAAGAATGTCGGTTTTTATACACATACACATTTTTATACATATAATAGATACATACACATTGGTACACATTTTTCCTAAAGTACACATTGTTGTACTTCGTTGCACTGAATGCATTGTTGTATGCATTCTTCCTAATGTATGTATTTGTACACATTTCCCCCTCCCCAACTAAAATTGGGGATGAGGGACAACCTCTGAGGCCTTTATACCTCCCCTGACCTTCTATGGACAACATTTGCCCTTCCCAGCAAAACCAGAAGTAACTGGAACATTGCTCCCAGTTCACCAAAAGCTAATCCTTTTTTTAAAAAAAATACGGGGGAGGACTTGTTTTAAAGGAAAATCACACAGTTCCTTCTTTTCACAGTATTTTTTTAAATGCAGGGCTTTGGGTCACATGGAGCTCTGGTAGCCATGTGCAGCCTGTGATTCCTGTCCTTGAACTAATCATGTTTAATTTATGTGTATTAATTTCAAATGTACATATTTCTAATTATACACATTTTCCAGTTGTACACAATTTGTGCACATTTTGATTTGTGTGCATTTTTTCTTGCCCCCAAAATATGTGTATTTCTGTGTGTGCCTCATTCCATTGCCAACCTCATGAGGAGCAGGATGAATATTTATGTAGGGAAATACACACCTCCCATATTTATTGTCCATCCCTAGATGTGTCATTTCCTAGGTGTTTGGAAACATGATGTTTAGAGAGCAATGCCTGGCATCTTTAAGAATATGGAAATATGCCAATGGGTTTTCGGTTCAAGTAGGAATTAAGCATGCTGGAGAAAAGAAATACCATCTAGTCCAGGACAACTCCAAAAGCTGGGGAAGAAAAGCAAAGTTTAGGCAAACACACACGGGTGATTGGTCTTAGGAGATCTTTCCAGTGTCCAGAGCAAATTCAAAGACAAGAAAGATGGCACTGGAGAGTAGCTGATGATGGTACAGATGGCACACTGAGAGGGAGGTTTTTTTGCATTCATATACCAGAGGAGTGTTTTCAATGGTGGGAAGGGATTGCTTGGATTAGAGAGTCTTCACTTCAGCAGATGGGGATACAAACCTCCAGGGGTCTGAATTGGCAGGCATTGTTAGGTGGGTTTGAAGTAGAAAGCAAGAACAGGGAAACTTCTGTGTTGACACATTATCAGGAGGAATGCTGTTAGCATTGCATACTGAATGAGAAAATCTGAAGGCAAACTATTAGTGAGAAAAGGCACAGCAGCACAATATGCAAAGACACCAGAGGACTGGTTCTGATGTCAGGACACATGGCCCAGACCTACCTAACACATGCATGAATTCATACGTAACCAGATCACTCTTGATGAACAGAATTTGTTCATTTTTAGGAACGTTATCATGCGGAGGAAATCTGTTGGTTAATCCACACAAATCCCAAACAAAAACTGAATTTGTGCCTCACGATTTCACACGACGTTGCACAGAAACTGGTATTATCTGAGATCTTTTTAATTTTGGGAGTTTAGAGGAAATGCATTTGCGAAATTACAGTAATTTTGCATTTACTGTAATGTGAAAAGCAAATACGCACGGACAATTCTCTTTTAAAACCTGGAGGAGGGCCAAGAGGAGGAGGAGGAGGGGCCTCCAAGGAGGGAGAGTCCTGGGCTCCTGCCATGCAGGGAAGGGAAGGGAAGGCAAGGTATGGCAAAGAGAGGGAAGTTTGGGACGGAGGGGAAGTTTGGCATTTGGGATGGAGAGAAAAGGAGGGGAAAGAAGGCT